CTACTCATTAAAAAGCCCGCCATGTTCGAGTGAAAGCCGTGTGCGTGGCGTATCCTAGAACGCGATTGGTTAGCGCCGAACGTTCTGATAATTGATATCTTTTCGAGTGTATAAAAATGAGGAACAATGAGCTCGCTTTACAGGTTCGCTGATGACAAAATGGGCGAAATTCTTACTTTGTCTGGTGATATTCCATGATGTTTTCAGCGTTCATTACTGGAAAATCAGCGATGACAAGAAGAAAATCGAAGCTGTGGTAGGGTTTGCATACTTTCCGAAAAAGTGTACGACCCGATTGACCCATAATAATTTCCCTCCATTCTCGAAACCTTCTTTTTTGATATTAGGGCTTCGTTTTTGCGTTTAATAATGCTATATTCTTCTATTTATGGTGGCAGTTTTAGAAGTAATGTCTACTCTTTCATAGGATATGCAAACAGCCGTCCTTTCTTTCGAGGTTTGAGGGCCTTTATTCCTGTTTGATCGCCATTTGGGTCGATGCATTGTCGCTGTGGCATTTTACAATGCCCATTTTATGGCAGCTTACCTCCATGTCCCTTCAAAACTCGAGGAACCACTTATTTCACCTCGTCCTTTTTTTCGACCAACTGGGACTATAGTAAGGCGCTGGCAGAAGAATGAAAAGCCACAAGGGTAGTCAGAAGTAGCCACTACAAGGAATGCTCAGCAGAGCACTTCACAATCTGACGAAACGAACCCGAAATATAGAGGGAGGGCGTAAGCGTTTCCCCACAGAAACACTGCCCGCACTATGCCCATCTTGCCAAAAATTTGATCTAGGTGTCGTTATCCACGACCACTAGGCCAGGATTATTCTTTTGGACTTCCAGCCTCTGCTTCGCATTGTTGGGCCTCGACGTCGCGGCGGGCGTGTGTTAAAAACGATCTGCCAATCCCGTCTGCCGATTTCCGACACATGCCCCACTGAGGCTCCCTCTCTGTTTGCGCTTTCCAAGGTGAGTTGGGTTGTTTTTTAAGATCACACACACTACGTCTTTAGACTAGGGCGGCTGAACAGCTCGAAGTGGCGAATCGGCTTGAGGCGATTGCGCCGTCTCCGGCCACGCCTACCGACTGGACTGTCCTGGAGCTTTGAAGATGAAGACCAAAGCTTCATGCTGAGGACGGTGTCGCCAGCTGGTATGGCGTCTCTTCGGTCCAAGTGCAAAATCGGTACTCCTTTTGCGCCGTTTAGCATAATCTAACTGTACATATTACCAGTTGAGCTGCGCACGATACCGAGCGCAAAGGACGGCTGCTGAGGACAGGCTTGTTCGTGGGATGATCCTGACCTGAGTCTCCCAAAGTGTGGCAGTTTGTTTTTTCTGTTTCCGCTAATGTTGATGGAAGTGTAGCATTTTTCGCTGCTAGGATGTATTGCGAAGAGGTTAATTAATAAGGTTCTTGAAAAAGTGGACGGGGGGTCGCATATTAGACTAGGAAGGGACGGTTGAACATAGGATAGAGGAGCAAGGTTGAGTATGTTAGCGCTGTTCTTGTAAAAATTTACCAGGTCATTTTTTGGAGAATCCCCCCACACACCGCTACGCCCATTTGAGGGGAATAGGTTAAGCGAGTCATGCTCGGTCTTAGAATCAACATACATATAGAAATTATAGTAGAGGGTGGTAAGGGAGGGTGTCAGAATTTTCTTCCATACTGACCCTGCTGCCAAGCTCACGCTCTACCCATTGCAAACTTGACCCGCCCTCCTTAGGTGATTTTTGAAGGAAGAATTATAAACATGTGGGGGACACTTGCGAATTTTTGGGGAGCGGTCAGACAAACAAACTCTGGTTTATATATTAGTATGATAGGGTGACTCATGCTCTACCATCCCTCTTTTTACAAGTCTTTGGATTGTTTCGGAAGCGATATGAACGATTTTTTCGGTTTCGCCCACTTAGATGCACACCCCGCCTACTGTGGGCGAAGTTTCTCATGGCCAATATTCCCCCCCCCCTTAAAGATGGGCGTACGCCCTATTAGGGGTTCTATTTTTCTTGCTTTCTGGGACGTTCTGGGACCAAAAAAATGCATTTTTCACCTAAATTTCCCCATTTTGACGCATGCCACCCCACTGTAGGCGGAGTTCCTCATGGCCAATATTTTCACCTTATAGAGTGATTCATGCTCGGCCCATTGCAAACCTGACCCACCTCTCATCATAGGCGCGCTGAGAAATGGATATTGATTATACGCGCACCAAATCTATGCCCATATTGAATATACATAAACTACTTATAGTATAAGTTGAATTTGAATTACGTTTGAATTTATCGAGAATTCTTTTCAGCCAGACTCGCCATACACATTAGCTTATCCTGGATCGTTGGTGGATTTTCTGCGGCAAGTGGATAGCGTAAAGAAATTCGGCAAAACCTATGTTGAACTGAGTAATGTGCTTGTGAGTGATTTTATTTTTTGCTTTCTAGGTTCTTTGATCAAATTTTATTTTAAAACCCTAAGAAAGGATTTCCAAGGTTTGGGGCTTGGAAGAAGTCCAAATCACTCAAATACAACGTCCATCAGGGAGTGTTGAATTATTGCTGATCAAAGTAGAACGAATAATGTCTGGTCGAAATATATAAGGATTAAACAACCAGCATTTTTAGGTTGCGCCACGCAACCTACTTCCATCAGAATCGTATGCTCTCGGACGCATTGGCCTGTACAACGACTTAAAGGATACGATTTCACGATAAGGTCAATGGTCGAAGAAGGGGGAACTACCTGAAAACTTGAAAGACAAGCTGACCTTGGAGAATTGCGAATCCACACGCAATGCATAACGTGGTAGGGATATGCTCCGGCGATGTAGACTTCCCGGCCTCCTCGGTCCAGGTTATAACGCCACGACTGCCGTCACTACTGCGCAGAGTGCTTCAGCTGCTTCGGCAGCAGAGCAGCATTGGTGTTGGAGAGGGCAGCATCAATGAGAGTCGCATCGGTGCGGAACCAATGGGCAAAGAAGGGGTTTCATTTCTCCGGTTCTAGATTGTTCGTAATAGTTTCTACATACGCGCACCATTGACCACCTCCACCTTTATTATCATGGCATGTCTTCCAGTCGTGAATTTCGCCTCTAGTGGGACAGCCAATTTAAGTCAGTGTTTTCAGTTTGTTCACAGGTTCACCGATTTCGAAGGATGAAACGACCTGGATGAAATTTGATTCAGATTTCGACCTACAGACCATTGCGCGTAGTATGCGCCACCATCTGCCGCTAAACCTCCTCCGCCCTTCATTATAAAAGAGTAAATAATGAATGAATGGTACTAATTAGTACATGAGTGAAGCGATTGCAAAAGTTGTTTGGGTGATCGTGATCGGGAGCCAAAAACCATTTTAGCTACTGTCAGTCAGAGATTTTTGCTATTGTTCAACAGGAAATGAGTTAAGAAATGGATTCAAAATTCAAGTTCGAAGCAGCATTCTGAAGAAATCAAAATTCTGTGCTTTAGAAATTCGATAAATGCTCGGGAAAGCTCGAGATGACCCGGAAATCGAAAAACGTCTACAAGCTGAAAGTGAGCATTGCAAGTTGGTCGGCAGTGTCGGACTGGATCGGAGTAACTTCAAAACTTCCTACTCTGCTGAGCTATGTCCTGACTTTCATAAATATTACGAAAGGTCGGTGATTATATGGCAAAAATCAAATTTGTATTGTTTACTCCCAAAAAATTTTATTCCAATTATTTATTTATTGTTTATTTACTTATTTATTCGTTTGTTTATCCATTTATCCGTAACTGCACGATCGGCCACAGTAACCTTAAAAAAGTTATCGAATAGCAGTTGGCTTTTTTAAGTAAACATTGGAAAAATGGTTTGCTTTTGTGTATGTTTTGTGTTTCTAAATATTTAAAAGTAAAATGTTTTTATATTACACTTTTTTCCTATATCCCATTGTTAATAGTCCCAATTTTGACTGTACAACTTTAGGTATACGGCTTTTGTAAAGGAGTATTTCGATATGGCACCTGATGACGAAAAGCTTCTACCACGATGCCGCCAGTGGCATCAAGAAAGCCAATTAAAAGGCCTTCCGAAGGTATGTTGAATGCTTGGCAATGAACATTCGGTCGGTCAATCATTCTAGAATGCGCCACGTATTCAGTATCCAAAATCACGCGAAAATTGGCATTTGGGTTGGGTTTATGTGATTGATCTTTGGGCTGAGGCACTGTCCGCCGCGTCACTAGCTTTGTTCTTCTCGAATGAGAGAACAGTGCAATGTCCAATGGATGAATGGCCAGCGCCAAAGTATTTATGGCCTTCAGAAATATTCATTAAGACCAAGCCTCTGCGATATGATTCCCTTCATAACTGGCATTTAGGAGGCGAACGATCAGCAGCTGAAGACGCGAATCCCTGATTCGGACTATGCTGAGATTCTTAAAGGCTATTTCCCACATGTGAAGAAGCTCGTCTCGACGGCATCACCAAGATATGGAGCGATCATCGCCAAATTGTTGTCGCATCAATTCGAGGTCTGTTGAAGCATATATCCTGCCTGGTACTGTTCAGCGGAACGAGAGCAATGGCGAAAAACTTCATGTGCGATCGTGGCTGAGAAACGCGGCGTGGCGCGATGCAGCTTGCGAGAACGCGGAAGTGTCACGTTCGGTTTGTCGTTAGGAGTGGTTTGCGTAAAGATTGGATAAAGGATGGCATTTGTGCCCCCATTAATTTTTAATTTTTAATTTAAACTTTTTGATGTCGTTTTTTTTTATCTTGCTAATATCAAGAATTTTTCACTGCAGACCATCAGCGCTCATCCATATTTACACTTGGCGGCAGCCGCGTACTGGCGTCAAGTCGGCGATCTACACGAAGCGCTTAGTTGCTACAAAACAGCTGTGACTTATGCGTAAGTTTTAATTCTTTATGGATTCGCTTTTCTTCAAATATTACTGGATTATTTATTTCGGAGATACTGTTGTTTATTTTTTTTGGACTTACAGAGAGAAAATGGTATCAAAAGGTGAAGAGGGCGGCCAGCTAAGCCTGGCGATTGCCTATTTATGTTGCCGTCTGGCACACATCTATTCAATAAAGTGGAGGCAGCGACGGCAGCGCCGAATAGCCATTTGGAGGGTGAGCTGGATTATGGGAGGATTGTGTTTTTTAAATCTTCTAAAATAAGCGTTAATTAGTGGCTTGAAGGTTCGCCATGCATTTGATCACTTTTCCGAAATGTAGCCCTATTTGCAAGCATGTTTTCGCTTGCAATTAAGTGTTTGTGGCGGCCAATATCCAAGGTATTTTACATTTTCAGCGAAGGCTAACTCCACTTATTTGATCGAAGTTTGACGGGTTATGAAAGGAGGATGGAGTGGGGTGGGATGCGTTTGGGATGCGGGGGTGTACCCACAGATGACCAAGGGTCTAGATTTCCTCGACCATATGGCTCTCTACTCTGCGAGAGAGTAGTCGTGAGAGTGAATGTGCACGCGGAGAGCACAGACGGCTCGCGGGTGGCGAGAGTGAATATCTGCGCGGGAGAGTGTGACAGAGCGAAAATCCTCGACGAGCTGTTGTCGTTTCCTCGGCCGATTTTCACCCTGGTTCCCACTGGCCTTTCGAATAGAAGGTGGGCGTTTAGCCATTCAACTATTAGCGCCACGGATCTTTCATAAGCAGATGTTGAAGTTAATGTTGGCGTGGATTTGATGATATTTCAAAAGTTATTTCAGCATTCGTTCACGATGGCCGATCCAAACGGTCACAGTCCATGCGTCTTTCTGAAGGCGCAAGCGGCAATGGCCGATGCGGCGTATTTGAAGTTGGACGCTTCACGGGTCAATGGCATTCAAGTGGAGCAAGTAGCTGACTTTGCCCGTATAGTCACCTATTTCTCCGATCCCTTTATTAGGCAACTGAAACAAAGGTGTAGCTTTCATAATAGCCTTTTTTGATTTGAAAATTCCTCAATCTACAGCTTGTCCCACCCAACGATTCGAACTATGTGGCTGAATTGCTGAAGTTCCATGAGGTTCTGCTGAAAGAAACTTGGTGCAATGAGCTGCCAGATTGATCTGTTCGTGGAATTAGCGAAGCAGAAGGTTTGGTCGATTGTGTGTATCATTTCCTAATTCTCTCGTCCTTGTTAATATTTTCTTTCCGATTAGCTTTGGTTTGGGGTGCCTCAGCCGTCTGTCCATCGTAGAACGATGAGGATCAAGTGTGCCCTTTAATAGTCGCTGTAAATATGTGTGGTGATATTTTAGGGTTTCATGTTTAGAGGAGGCGTTCGGAATAGTTGTTGAGACAGACAATCGGCGTAGTTCCAAGGGAAAAGAACATTGACACGCTCTCCTTCATTTTCTTAGGTTTCTCGCTTTATCTCTACCGGAGCAAAGGTTTTTTTTTTCACACTCCCCAATTCTTTTCCGAATTCGTTACTGGGAATAGGTAGAGTATATAGTCTAGTGAATAAGGGAATTCACAGAGCGGGATAGGTTTGTGGCTGGGTTTCACAAGCGTGTTGCTCGGATCGAATCCGGCGTGATATAGCGTGCCTAAATGCCCTTGCGATCTATCGATGTCTTTGAATCGAAACTGCTCTCCCTGTTAAGGGTCGAAAGCAAAAAAAAAAGTAAGAACACACATTCTCGTAGAGTTAGATGACCCGCACTTTATTGACAGGCCAGTTTTGCCTTCAAATGTCACCCGTTCTTGAACAGAAGTCTAGTACGTGGCGCATTGCAAACAGAGCTTAATCAATGCGAGCGCTTTGTCTTCTCAGAGGATGAACCGATGGGTATGGCATAACTATTAAAGGCACAACCCAGGCAGAGGTCGTGTGAACGCTTCTCTTCGGTCTGTAGTATAGACCCCTAGAGGACAATCACAAATGTGGCGTTCCCGTGCACGGAAACCAACCGACAAGAGCGCTTGGGCCTTGCAAAGTAAGCTGCCCAAGCTGCAGACTTTTTTCTCTTATCAGGCTGTTGTCTGGCGATCTCTCATCTGTAGCGCTCTCTCGCCCCATACTCTCCTCTCCGCGCTTAGTCTCTCATTCCCTTAGCACAGCCGATTAGGAAGGTGAGTGAGCCCTTAACCTGAGCGTTTTTGACGGATTCTTTTCCTTTTTTCTTCACTGCCGGCCCACTTCCCACCAATACATTCGCATTCGTGTACAAGAGCCACACCAATGTGATCCTGGGGCATGGCCTTTAATAGCATGGTAAGAAGGGAATATGCCTCCATCATAAGTGGAGAAGTGGAAGGTGCGGGTGTGGCGGGGTCGGTGCGTTCAGGATTTAGCAGGGCAGTTCGTAACAGACTATGCATATGAACTCCAAATGTTTTCAAGTTCCTTTTTCTTTCTTATTATTCCTTTCTTTTCTTATTTCTTTAGTATGTCATTCGTGAAAACTTTTGTTTAGGAAAACCTGGACCATCTGGTTTCTGAGAAGTTGCGCTTCAATGATATTTATGGAGACCAGGTGAGTCCGCAGAAATAAAGCTCTTGATACTTAAATATTTCAACATTCCTTGAAAATGGTGTTCAGATGAAAATAGCCGACCAAATACGTGATCGAATGGTAAACGAGAGAACACGACAATCCCTTATATTGGGTTACGAGGAGAGGATTACAGGCCAAGTATGGAGAGAATCCGTGTTAAGTTAGGAAATGTATCAAAGCTGATGCCAACTCGATTCAGGGGGCGGAATTACGGAAGGTGTCGTACGATATGCACGGTTCCAAAAATTCAAATTCACTGTATAAGGCCTACTATTCCATCCTACCGAGAAGGGTTGAACATACCAGACTTCTCTTAGTTAGCTGGAAAAATCAAGCCGCTGACTCATGACTCATACTCATGAGTTGCTTGGGTCTACAGTCGAACGGAAAATGCCTTCCTGAGACTCGAAGGCTCGCGGCAAGGACTTATGGCGTCTATAACTTGGATCTATGCACACCCAATGTATGGGTGCCCGCCCACCGATTATCAGCGCATTGGCACCTGCGTAACGTTTGCCCTCATGCTCTCTCATTTTGGCGTCCAAACTTTTCGTAAACTCGTCCACATCCAAATTGAAAAACTTTTATTTTCACTGTCTCAACGCTCTATTCCAATTTTTCTTATGGGTCCACCATTCCTTGCATACCTCCTCCATTTCGAGCGCAGTAATCATTTCCAGGCCTCGGTGTTATGCACCTTGACGTATCCCTCACATATCTGCGTTGGTACCTGCCCAGGATGAAATTGGCTGTCTCCTATCTTATTTGATAATGCCTTCTATCTGTATAACTGTATCATAAGAATTAAGAAGTAAGGGCAGGGGTCGGAATTGGGTTGATGTGTTATTTTATTTGGAAATTAGGCTAGAAGTGCGTTTGGAAAGGCTGGTGGGGGAAAGCACCACAACAAGCACCGAAAATCCCTTGCGAGTTCGGCCGTGGTGTGACGGAGTGACAGAGTGCTACAACGGGAGGGAAACCGCGAGAGAGCACGTCGTACGCAGAGGGCGCGAACTCCACATAAGTCACGATTGATAGAATGGCAGCGCTCGCAGCGGTCAAGCGAAGGCATTAGCCTCCTTGTCGCGCAGTACCACCGAGCCTATGCTTAGAGGCTCTAAAACCTCGCTTGAGAAACGAATTTCTTTGAGAATTTATTTATTTATTTATTTGAAACGACGCATGAGGCAGTCGTGGGAAACAGCGATAAATGAGCAACAGTACAATCAGTTGATTCAGTCGCGACCCGTGCTTTCAGAGTCGCGCACAGGACATGGCAGTCTCTCAGGGGTTCAGTAGATAGCTCCTTGGAAGAGGCATTGTTATCTGTATCAGCTGGCCGCTAGAAGTCACAAGAAGGCGTTTGAAGGTGAAAGGAATAATTAGGCCAAATATTTTCTTCGATCCTTGTTCGATGCCAAATTCAATAATCCAGATAGAAAAATGACCAAGGAAGTGCCGTATATTCAAAATCGAGTACTGCACAATGTAAATAGAAGATAGGATTCTTTTTGTGAATTAAGCAATAATGACTCAGCGCTTGGCCATGTGCACGATACGAAAGGAAGGTTGACAGGTCATGAAAATGAATAATTTTCACGAAAAATTCTTCCAGTGAGAAGAAGAACGATATGGGATGAGAAGAAATATGTACAATGACCTAAGTAATTGAAAAAAGTTTTCGCATTAGTAGTGCAGCAGCCAATAGGATGAATAGGATGCAGGTGAGAATGTCAGGCGGATGACGAGATGGCTGATATTGGCTGTATTGATTAGAGATAATGCTCTAATTATGGTAATGAAGGGTAGCGAATGAAGGCTGGGTCTCACCTAAGCCACATACCAACTGAGGTACGGGTAAAACATAATCAGGTTTTGAAGCTTGTGCAAAGGTCATGGAACTGTTCATTTCTAATTCTTTCTCCGAGTGATAACTGATTGGAGTATTAATATTTTTTTTCAATTTCACATTTTTTCATTTTTCCCATGGTTGTAACCCTTCGCTCTTTACTTGGGGCATCATTTGGAAATGCTATTAGTGTATCCTTGAAAGTTAAACCACTTCGAGAATCGAGAGTTTACAGTAAAGACGAAGGAATGAATGGAGATAGTGTTGGGATTACCGGCTTTCAACACTTCCTGCCGGCGCGAGATACGCGGCATCCTTCAGGACTGACCCTAGGAGGGGCAGAAACTCATGGTAAAATACGTGGAGCCTCCCCTCCCCCGCCGAAGGCTTAGTCCCGTTTTCAACAAAACCGTTTTATGCGGTTTTCAAAGCATTGCCACCACATTGCCCCCGTACCTTGCAACAGCGCCCTTCCAGCTTTGCCACTGGTTTTAATTGTTTTGTATAGGTAGAAGAAAAGTGCGCGCGCAATAGAGAGCTGCGAAGCATTAGGATCACATTCGGCGATTGCGAAGGTGTAGTTTATTGTGCCCGATAGGAAGCAGATGTTTTGTTCAATCGGTCAGGAATTACAGAAAAAAGGCGAAGCTGCTGGGAGCCTTCAAAAACAGATTGCATGCGGCTGCTGTGGGCCGAAAAAGTGTTGCGATACGATGCGTTCCGGCCTTTCTGATTGTAGTTATTTCATACGATAAAGTGGAGCGGCCGAACATTGGGAAGGGAGCATTGTTTCACATTATATTGGGTTGGTGCATAATATCGTAGCGTTTTTTTTTTGGGCGTGTAAATTCAATCAGTACAAGAGAAACCCTAAAAATCGCCTATACCTTTTGAAAGTGCTTTTTTCGCTCTACAAAAATTACTTCGTCATTTCCCTCAAAATTATATTTGTACTCATACATAATGCTTAGAAGTTGGAAAATCCAGACGGCAGAAATCGGCATTTCGACAGCTGTTATTTTTCAGTTCACATAAAGAAAAAAATACCGTCAAAACAAAAGTTCTTCAGAATCCATTGTTCTTATCGAACCTCTCTCTAACCAACCCTACATATTTCACTCAAATTAAGACCGTATTCATGTCGTACAAATTGCGAAATAATGAAGACTTCGAGAGCGAGCCCAACATCTTTTTTTCAATTCCAAATCCAGTGACTTTCTGCAAAATAGGATAAAAGTCGTAAATAATGGCAAAGTGGACATCCCTGATTAGTTTTATGTTTTTAATTTCTTCACAAAACGTTTGCGTGCAAAAATGAAAAATGCAAGCGCTACGATATTATGCACCAACCCAATACATCGGTCTCCGCCCACGCGCATCTATCGCGTACAGTGTCCTTTCATGCGTTCGCAATAGTTTCTTTTGCTCCCCTTATTGCCGATTGGCCATCTGCTGTTGCTATTCTCATTTTCGGGCACAATAACCCACATCAGCATCGTCATTGCGTCGTTTAGTTGGCGAAAGTTAATCATTGGTAAAACTGAAGCAAAAACATAAAAAGTTAACTGTGGTCAACTCATTACAGCGAGTTGTGCAAGCATAATCTTCCTGATTAAATCTTTTAATATCGATAGGATAGCCTTCTGAAGGTTACCGATGCGTTTTTTTTCGCACGGCTCAGGAACCGTTGAAAACGACAAGGACGCTGGGCTTTTACTCGGGATTAGTGGTCCCATTGCCTGCTATGCAGCGGCTATATGTCTGTTCTCTGTCGACAGCGTGCTCTTTCGTGTGTTTTCGCTCTCTGCGTACTCTCCTATGACGTTCCACGGACGACCTTACAGAAAGTCTGAAACCCGTGAATTTTAGCCTCCTCTTTCATTTCTCTGACTATTTTTCACTTTCAGCTCACTCTCCTACCTCTTAATTGGGTGCTCTTGCACAGCAACTTTATCTTGGAGCGTGCCTTTAAATGGAGATAACAATTGTTTGACATAATTTTATTTCTTCTAACCATTTCTGAGGTTTCTGAATTTATTTCGTTGACCTCTCGAACAGCCTAATTTTTCCAGATCGAATTTGTCGAGTGATCAGTGCGAAACGGTTTCCGCGCTCTAATCATCCCGGCAATTTGGTACCTACTTATCACTGTGAAGTGACGGATCCTGTAGCTTATGAAGAGTCGATGATGCCGTTGAGGAAGGCAACAACGAAGAATAGACCACCGGTGAGTGAATGCTGAAGTATGCGAAAGTCTGAGTGTTATCCTGAACCTCGTTCATTTTTGCATTTTGAATTAACTCTATTGTATTAAATATGTTGGGGAAGCCGTTGACGGTGCTTCTGTTATCTCGCTCGTCCCCCATACTCTCTCATCTCGTTTATCTGTGCTCTCTCCTCGGCACCCAGTGCCTCTCGGACTACCCACTTCGTGGACTAGCCTGCCGCTGGCGCGCTGAAATTGTGTATTCTTCATTTTATTAGGTTGTCCTGAAAGTCTTTGCCCATTTTCATGTGTATGTTGTGAAATCTCCAGGGATAATTTTTGAACATCCATTGTAAAACGTATGTGAACCCCAGAGCATCTCTGCCGTGGTATTTCGCAGCGATTATGGCTGAGAAAATCGACTTTGACTGAAAGCATATTTGGCTACTCTTGATTCTGAAACCCAGAAAACGCGTCAATGGAAGCGATGCGGCAAGAGCCCACGTCTTGCGATGGACTCCAGAGTGTCTTTCACGACATGGCAAACATTTGGTTGCCGATGTCCAGAAACTCGAGAAAAAAGCCCAAAGTCGGTTGGCTTGTTACCTGAGTGACGAGTGTCTTCTGGAGCTTGTTTGGAAACAGTCTCTGGTGCAATGCACACTTCGTGATCTGGGTGACAACCGCCATCAGAAGCCTTCAGATTTTGCATGAACATTTTGATTTACCGTCTGTATCTTGTTTGACCCGACTACTTTGTTAGTGGTAGCAAGGAGTGGGTTCCCCAAGTAAACCACCAGGACAACCTAATATTTGAAGCAACAACCTTAGAGAGATCGTGTCGAAGAATCTATTCTGTGGTGGGATAGAGTAGCCCACGAGTATCACAGATGTGCCGTTGTCGCGGCTCGAAAGTGCGCGACAATGGCGCTAGGGCCTTACAAAGTGATCTGATGGCGACTAATGTGAACTTATGGACGAGATACCTCGCGCACACCCCATACGCAACGTGGATTACGGCGTAGCGGCTAATTCAAATACGCGCGGGTTAGTGGAGCCGTGGAGCAAGCAAGTTATAAAACTCGTCCGACACGCCTCTGGAATCCACACTCCATTATTGATCGCTGTGACCGCACAAATTCGATCTGGAGTTGTTGCTTTAATCACCTCACACCACTGTCACACTGTCGAAAAACCTAAGAGTTTCGTAAGCTTTAGATTGTCCAACGTCTCCACATACTCGACGAAACTTCTTATTCTCTCTTTCTTTCTTCTATTTTCTCTTATATGTTTTACAAATTTTTAAAGGGAGGTCCAGCTCACGATTTACTGGATTCTAAAACTATTTTTTTCTCATGGAATTATATTTCAGTTGAATGACACCGCATGGAATGTTGCTGAAGTGTTCGCCACCGACAAAATATTCGAAAAAAAGCAAAGGTCGCTACGTGGGAAAATGCCGCTGGAACCTCAGATGCCGAAGAAATATCCTTATGACAGGTATCTCACCAAATGCCTCTGAAAAGAATCAGTGGAGTTGAAGGATCGCAGAGGAATGGTCAAAGTAGACCGTGGAGGAAAGGGTTTATCGGTTGATTGAACAGCCGTAGAGCTATTCTTCGCTCTCGTACTGAGAGGATTCAATTAACATTGAAAAGTAATGAGAAGCTCTGAGAACAGCTGATCAACCCGTCGTGAGGCTACATCACTGGTGTCACTATTTTCCTATGCCATGTCTTCCTTGAGCGCGAGATCTGGAAACAATCTCCGTAGCTCTTGATCAATGCCTAATGATGACTGAGTTTAGTGCAACATGGTCAACAGTACGTGATCGGTTTTGGCGCCGTGCGGATTGGCCGTCAAGCGT